CCTGAGGACAGAGCCGCGGGGGACCGTAAGATCACGTTCCCGCACTACTTTTAGCCCTGGCTCTAAAATGCCTCCCTTCCAGTGCGGATTTTCCCACTCGCATGACCGGGGCCTTAGTTAAATTACTACTAGGTTCATTGTAGACTTACCTGTTGTATTATTGAAAAATTGTAGACTTACCTGTTGGCTTTTTGTAAATACTGCATATGTAGTATTCTTAGTTCAATTACTACCAGCTATATTGTTGTTACTCATTAGTAAATTGTTTTATTATTCTATTCTTAGGCTCCTGTCACACGGGCAGGAAAATGCGGGGGGGAAGCGTGGCTGTTTGCCCCGGGGCAAACTAACGCAGGGTTAAGCGATCAGACCTCCCGTGGAGGTCCCGTGGAGGTCCTGTGGGTAGGGAGAGGTGCTGATCACAGGACGGTCCTGCGCGCAACAAAGAAGCGGCGCGGTGTGGCAAACTGTTTTTTTTTTCCATGTACACCAAAAATGTGCATGCTTCGTTGGGTGCCTGTGCGCATCCACAGAGACTTGGGGGGGGGAAAAACCTTTTTTGCAAGGGGACATGGGCGGGCGACGGATGCCACCGGAAACGCGATCAGATGCCCGCCCTTGCCCTGCGGTTTCCGGAAACTAGTACCTCCGAGGTACTAGTTTTTTGCCGCGCGTCTTCGGCGGGAAGCCTCGGTTGAGCCACGGGAGCGCTACGCTTCCCAGATGTGCCGGTGAGATCGTGCCCTGAAAATCCGCCTGTCTTCCGTCTCTCTAGCGTGGCTAATGTTCCGTGTGACCGCAGCCTTAGTATCCTTCTACACAGTTGTTGTTTTTTTGGTCTTATCCTGACCTGGATAGCCCAGGCTAGCCTGATCTCATCAAATCTCAGAAACTAAACTGGGTCAGCCCTGGTTAGTACTTGGATGGGAGACCACCAAGAAAGTCCAGGGTTGCTATGCAGAGGAAGGCGATGGCAAACCACCTCTGTTCATCTCTTGCCTTGAAGATGCTATGGGGTCTCCCCTTGAGGGCACTTACATGAAATAAAAGAATAACTCATTGGGAGAATCCTCTAGGAGGGAAGCAGCGACTGAATCCAGCTCACGGTTATCGTGAAAACATATCGTTGCTCTAAGAGATGAAATCTGAGAACCTGTAATCTAGGAAAGCTGTTTCCCTTCCAGTTGACTCACTTCTAACCATGATATCATTCTCACCTTGTTTTCATAGGAAATGAATACTGGGTCTATTCGGCAAGCACTTTGGAGAGAGGTTATCCAAAGAGACTCACTAGCCTGGGACTGCCCCCTGATGTACAACAGGTCAACGCAGCTTTCAACTGGAGCAAAAACAAGAAGACTTACATTTTTGTAGGAGACAAATTTTGGAGGTAAGAGATTGGTTGCATTTTTTCCCCAAGTGGCTAATCTAGACCTGCCACGGTGCCTTTCTCGCCTTCTTAAGAACCTTCCCTCCACATCGAGGCAGGGCCGGGGCAGATCACAACAGAATATGGAGTTTCTGTTTTCAGAAGTAATAGACCTCTTAGAAGTAATAGACCTTCGATAGACCTATCCACCATAAGGGTGCGGTCAGACGGCATGCTGAGAGTGGGTTAAACTGCTCTGGCTCTGACTGGGTTATATTTGATCTGGATAATCGCGATCACACATACCTCCCTTATCCCGCCTTACCGCACAGTCACGTCATTCCCCGGCATCTACACTACTGACACGCGGGAGTGTGTGTTGGCGAGTTTTTTAAATTTTTCCTCAATTTGCGCATGCACATAGGTGCCCCTACATAGAAGGGAGGGAAGTTATCACGGTGCATGCGCAGAACCACCAGGGTGAATCGATCCAACCCCTCCAACAAAAGACTTCCCTTTAAATGTTTGACCCGAAAATGGCCTCCGCGAGATCCCGATCTCATCTAAACGCTAAAACAAGTGACCGTTTAAATGTCAGTTTCCTAAACGCGGTGGCAAATGCAATGCAAAGCTAGAGCATTTCTGACTGGTGGCTGTCCATCCTCCACTTGAAGACCTCCAGGAAGAGAGAGCCCCTCCTCCCCTAACCGATTCCATGATTTATTGTTTTTTACTTCTGTGCACAACTTTGGTGTGATGGTTATTTAGAAACATCTGTTACAAAATCCAAACAGTGATGACATCAGGATTTTTTTTAAAAAAAAACATATTTTACCAGGTACAATGAAGTAAAGAAGAAAATGGATCCTGGCTTCCCCAAATTAATTGCAGATGCTTGGAATGGCGTTCCAGACAGCTTAGATGCTGTTCTGGATGTGAGCGGAACAGGTAAGCTGGCAGCTGATATCTGACATTGAAAGAGCCCCCCAGGAATCATAAAATAAACTGGCAGACTAAACGGCCCATCTGAATGTGTCTAATCTTTTGAAAAACCCAGCACCACTAATGTTCATTACAATCTTTCGTGAAAATAGTTTCAGGTAGCCATTATAATCTGCAGTGGAAAAGCTAGTATGAGATGAAGGGAACTTTGACTCTGGGAAGCATACACCCTGGAAATAGGGTTGCCAACCTCCAGGCGGGGCCTGAAGATCTCCTGGAACTACAACTGATCTTCAGTCAAGAGAGATCAGCTCTTCTGGAGAAAATGGATGCTTTGGAGGGTGGACTCTATGGCATTAGAGTCTTTCCTCCGCAAACCCCACCCTCCCCGAACTCTTCCCCAAATCTCCAGGGGTAGAAATTCAATTAATCAATCAATCAAACCTACCTGGAAATTGTGCTGATCTTAAAGGTGGTACTGGACTCACATCTAGTTCTACCTTCCTTCCTTCAGTTTGGTGTAGTGGCTGAGTGCGCGGACTCTAATCTGGGAGAACCGGGTTTGATTCCCCGCTCCTCCACCTGCAGCTGCTGGGTGACCTTGGGCAAGCTATAGTTCTGTCAGAGCTGTTCTCTCAAGAACAGTTCTGGAAAGAGCTCTCTCAGCCCCACCTACCTCACCGGGTGTCTGTTGTGGGGAGGGGGAGGGGAAGGAGTTTGTAAGCCGCTCTGAGACTCCGAGTGCGGGGTATAAATCCAATCTGAGAGCCAGTTTGGTGTAATGGTTAAGTGCGAGGACTCTAATCTGGGAGAACCGGGTTTGATTCCCCACTCCTCCACTTGCACCTGGCTGGATGGCCTTGGGCAGGCCGTAGTTCTGATAAGAGCTGTTCTTGAAAAAGAGCAGTTTCTGTCAGAGCTCTCTCAGCCCCACCCACCTCACAGGATGTCTGTTGTGGGGAGGGGAAGGGAAAGGAGTTTGTAAGCCGCTCTGAGACTCCTTTGGGTAGTGAAGGGTGGGGTATAAATCCAGTCTTCTCCTCCTCCTCCTCCTCCTCTTCTTCTATCTCCCCCTCCTCCTCCTCCTCCTCCTCCTTTCATTCATATTGTCATTCTCTATTCCTTCCTAATGGACAACAGAGAATTCAGCCAAGGCTTTACCTGTCTCTCTTTCAATAGCCATCTTCTCACATGACTGCTAGTTTGTAGTGTGTGTGTGGGGGGGCTGGTCACAGTTCTCTCACAACTCACTCAGCCCCACCTACCTCACAAGGTTCCTGTTGTGGGGAGAGGAAGGGAAGGAGATTGAAATCTGCTCTGAGATTCCTTAAACTAGAGGAAAGTGGGTTAGGGAAATCTACTCTTTTTCTCCCATCCCTCCCCAAATGCCACCTCCCCCAGGCTCCGCCCTCAAACCTCCCGGAATTTCACAACACAGAGCTGGTCACCCTCTATTAGATTCAGAAGGGCCTTGCAGACATCTAGCCCTCCTCCCCAATGCCGGGAATGCAAAGCTAGAGCATTTCTGACTGGTGGCTGTCCATCCTCCACTTGAAGACCTCCAGGAAGAGAGAGCCCCTCCTCCCCTAACCGAATCCATAATTTATTGTTTTTTTTACTTCTGTGCACAACTTTGGCGTGATGGTTATTTAGAAACATCGGTTACAAAATCCAAACAGTGATAACATCAGGATTTTTTTTTTTTAAATCATCTTTTACCAGGTACAATGAAGTAAAGAAGAAAATGGATCCTGGCTTCCCCAAATTAATTGCAGATGCTTGGAATGGCGTTCCAGACAGCTTAGATGCTGTTCTGGATGTGAGCGGGACAGGTAAGCCGGCCGCTGATATCTGACATTGAAAGAGCCCCCCAGTCTGCTACAGAAATGTTGAGGGACATTGTTTTTTGGAGGGGTCACCTGCCCTGCCCTGCCCTGTATGGGTCAGACTAGGCAAATCTCAGCAGATCTCTGAAGCTAAGCAGGGCTGACCCTGATTAGTATTTGCAGGGGTCCTTTCGTAGAAAAAGAGGTGCAGGAGCTCATTCGGATAACTCATTAGCAGAACTTATTTGCATATGCCACACACACCCCTGACATCACTGGAGGTGTGTCAGAAGGCAACACCCATTTTCATTATCCTGATTTTTTCTGAGCATGGTTGTTAATGGTTCGGGATTTGTGTGGGTGGGTGGATTTGGCGGGTCTCAAAAATGTGGAACCATTATTTTTGCCACCACCGTTCCAAGGCAAAGGTTGGGTGGGTTTCCCATCAAAGCAACCTGGCCCCTATCCCCAAATCCCTTGGAGTTTCCCAGCTGGGGTTGGCCAGAGTGGTTGGGTCATCAAACCCATTTGCCGGTTGACCAAAGTTCAACCACCTCTTCTCAACTCTGTGATGAAATAGCTGTCTCCCCCATTCCAGCAGCATGCCCAAGCAACTGTACGTTACGTCAACTGAAGACTCATTTTCTCCTTGCAGGTTTCAGCTATTTCTTCAAGGACTGGTATTACCTCAAACTGGAAGACCAGAGTCTGAAGATCGTTAAAGTTGGCAATGTGAAATCTGATTGGCTGGGCTGCTGAACTGAGTGACCTCTTAATAACCAAAAAAACATGTACACTTTTTTTTTTGGTACAAGTCCTATGTCTTACCTGCCATTAGAGATAGACCTGTATGTTAATTCATTGGCCAGTCTGGAACTGGCATCGTCGCTCAGTTACTATTTCTTTATGCAACCACGTATTAGAGCGTGTGATTAAGCACATGTACTTGGGAGCGAGTTCCAGCCAAACCCGGGAATTTACTTTCTAAGTCCAGGCATTGAAGATTAGGGGTGCCAGACACGTACAAGGACTTTTGTTTTTGTTTTTTTCCATTGCTTAATTTAAGACTTTTGGAGCCTTTGGGCAAACAATAAAAGATGTTTACTTCAGTAGCCTGAAATATGGTACTATGTTCAGTTTACCACATCAGCAGATTGATACTAGCAGCAAGAGAGCTGTGATTCTCTGTTTTCCTGGGTCACGATCAAATGGGAGGGAGGAACCAAACATTTGAATTCGCCCTCAAATTAATAAAATCCCCCCCCTGCAAATTTGAAATCTACCTATCGGGGAGAAACTTAGGTTAGGCTGATTTCCCACATAACAGGATTGTTTTGTATACGCAGGGAGCAGTGTTCCCTCTAAGCTGAGTTAGCGTGAGCTAGCTCACAGTTTTTCAGCCTCCGGCTCACAGATTTTTGTCTTAGCTCAGGAAGGATGGCTCCAGAGCAAACTAACTGATGCAGTAGCCAAATCGCTTGCTCACAACTATAAAGCCAGTAGCTCACAAAGTAGAATTTTTGCTCACCAGACTCCACAGCTTAGAGGGAACATTGGCAGGGAGATGATTTCTACATCCACATGTATATTCAAACATTCAATTTCCCCATCTGGTTCTGACCTGTGACTCCTACATCATAGGGACCTACAGATCATGTAAGTCACTTGAAAAATCGTGGGTTTTAGGATCCAAAGTAAATACCACTGCATCCAAGATATGAAATCCTGATTCCAAAATGAGTATCTTTAGATTTTTGTCTTCAAACATTAAACTGCCTGTAGCACCCCCCTGGGAGCAGGGGAATGTTCTACTCAGAGTCCCTGAGGTGGTTCTTGACATGACAAGCCCAGTCCACTGTTTCTTTAAGCAGCTCTTTTATTCGTCCCAACAAACCCCCTGAAGGTGTGATTCAAGTCAGCCACCGCAGGGCTACACTGTATTACACTGAAGAAGAGCCCCGCTGCTCTCACCTGCCTCTTGCTTCATCTTTCTTCTTCACCTGCCAGCCTCCTGCCCTTCCCAGTCAGTTCGGCTTAGTTGTTAAGTGCACAGACTCTAATCTGGGAGAACCGGGTTTGATGCCCCACTCCTCCACATGCAGCTGCTGGATGACCTTGGGCAAGCCATAGTTCCGACAAGACAAATATTGCACACACGTTTTTGTTAACATTAAATGAGACTGCAAGACAAATATTGCACACACGTTTTTGTTAACATTAAATGAGACTGCAAGACAAATATTGCACACACGTTTTTGTTAACATTAAATGAGACTGCCAAAAATTAAAAAAACAAATGGGGTAAAAACAGATATTGATAATGATATTTATTGATCTAATGATATTTATTTGTCTGAGAGAAAGAGAGAGAGAGGCAAAAAGAAAGAATGAAAGAGGTGGAAAGAGAGAAAGAGAGTTGTTGCTGTTGTTGTTCGATCGCACAGTCGAGTCCGACTCTTCGCGACCCCATGGACCAGATCACGCCAGGCCCTCTTCCGCTGTCCTCTGAAGTTGGCTCAATTTCATGTTCGTTGCATCTATGACACTGTCTAACCATCTCATCCTTTGCTGTCCCCGTCTTCTTTGACCTTCAATCTTTCCCAGCATCAGGGTCTTCTCCAGTGAGTGCTCCCTTCTCATTTGGTGGCCAAAGTATTTTAGCTTCAGTTTCATTATCTGGCCTTCCAGGGAACAGTCAGGGTTGATTTCTTTTAGGATTGACTGATTTGATCTTTTTGCAGTCCAAGGGACTCTCAAGAGTCTTCTCCAGCACCATAGTTCAAAAGAATCTATTCTTCTGCGCTCGGCCTTCCTTATAGTCCAACTCTCGCAGCCATACATGACTACTGGGAATACCATTGCTTTGACCATGCGGACTTTTGTTGGCAGGGTGATGTCTCTACTTTTTATCATGCTGTTAAGAGAGAGAAACAAAGAAAGCAAACAGATGGGGACATGAGGGAGGGGGAAGGAAGGAAAAGAGGGAGGAAGAAAGGGAGAAAAAGAGAGAGAAAGGTGGAAAGAACACGGGCCGGGGAAGGGAAGACCGATTGGAGAGGCAGGCCTCCCCTTCGCTTCCCCAGCTGCCCTGCCGGGAGCCACACAATATCTGTGAAAGAACCACATGCAGCTCCCGAGCCACAGTTTGGCCACCCCTGGGTTAACCTCTAAGATTGTGCAGAAGTATGAGTTGGGGTGCCAACTCTGGGCTGGGAAATTCCTGGAGATTTGGCTGTGGAACTGGGACTGGAGGGACCTCAGCAGTGGTGTGGTGCCAAAGAGTCCACCTCCCAAGGCAGCCATTTCCTCCAGGGGGACTGATTTTTGTCATCTGGAGGTCAGGTGTAAGTCCAGGAGAGCTCCAGGTTCTACCTGGAATTTGGCAACTGTATAGGCGGATCAAAACCAAGTCTTCCTCTGGCTTCTGACTAGCCCTTGAAAGAATAAGATGGGCAATCCCCACTTTCTCTTCTTCTTTGCAATGTAACAGCACAGGGGAAAGGGGAGGAGATCAGTGGAATCGCACACTCAGGGGTCATTTCCTGCCAGAGCACACAGGAGTGGATATCCGGCAGTAAAGAGCCCAGGGGGTGGGCACATGCAGCAAGCCCCACCCCCTGCTCCCAGCAGCCCTCAGTCAGAGCAAGAAGCAGCCAGGTAAGCTGCAGAGCCCCTCCAGCCCCCCCGGTCCAAAACAATCCAGTGGCACCTTTAAGACCAAGTTTTATTCAGGTACAAGCTCTCCCTCCT